TGAGGATACTGTCACGTCAAGAGGTCTCTGAGAACTTGAACACATCTCATTCTTAGCAGCAGCCTACTATAACCCAAATAAGCACAAGAGTGAGGCCCTCAATTACTTTTGCTGACACCCATGCCCTTCCTTTGCAGGCCTGTGTGTCAAAACTAGAGCTCTCTAGAATAGCAGTCTTTAAATATTTTTCTTCTCATGTCCCTACACACTAACTGGACTAAAAAGTAAATGTGTCGGAGTCAGTGAGACTGGCTCACGATGGGGCAGGGTTCAGAGCTACTGTGCATAGGGCTGCTATGAGTCATAGGTGACTCGATGGTACATAACAACAGCAACACCCTACAAAAGTTTGAAAGACTAAGCCCCCATAATTTTAAATCATTGCAAAGGCAATAATTGCCAGATTATAAATCTGACAACCAAAATAAAACTTCCACATCACTCTAAATTATACCAATGGTATAAGTAACACACTACCAAAATTATTTTTACTTAAAAAAATCCAAATCTTTCCTTAGTAGTAAAAAATTTTACAACTATGAGATATCATCTTAATCCAGTAAGAACAGCAATATTTAACAGAACAGCAAGCAACAAATGCTGGCGAGGTTGCAGAGAAACTGGAACCCTTATTCACTGGTGGTGGGAGTGTAAAATGGTGCAACCACTGTGGAAGGCAGTATGGTGCTTTCTCAAAAAGTTGCAAAGAGAGATACCATTTGACCCAGCAATTCCACTACTAAGAATACACACCAAACAGACCATAACTGGCATCCAAGCAGATATATTCACATCCATATTTATCGCGGCTTTGTTCACAATGGCCAGGAGTTGGAAACAACCTAAGTACCCATCAACAACGAATGGATAGAGAAGCTGTGGTATATTCACACAATGGAATACTTCGCTGCATTGAAAAATAAGAAAATGGTGAAATATTATTCAAAATGGGTGACCCTGAAGGACATTATGCTGGGTGAAATAGCTCAGTCACAAAAGGATAAATACTGCATAGTGTCACTGTTGTAAAACAGGACTGACATCGGGGTTGGGGGAAGACTGAGAAAGATGGGTTCAATAATGTATACTGCATTGAAACAGATGAGGGAGAAAACTGTTTAAAAGGGATATATGATTAGGTATTTTTGTCATGACAGGAGTCCAGAACAAAGGCTGCATAGTGGAGTGGACCTGGGGGGAGGGATTGTAAAACAATGAAAGAATTTTTCTTTTACTTTTTCCAAGAGGGTAGTGTACTACGGGGGAGGTTTGGAAGGGGAGAAAAGTGCAACAATGAATGAATGGAAATCCAAAGTCTCTGTAAATTTTCATTAAAATGAATAATTAAAAAAAAATTTAATCATTTCTTTTTCTTTTTATTCCTCACAGAAATTTATACTAATGCATATTTTTATAGTCTTTGATTAATCATCATATCACACATTTCTACGATTGAAAATGTACATAAAATGTAAAGTAAAATTTATTTTAAATTCCTCTGACCAGAACTTTAAATAGAAATAAAAAAAAAAAAAACAAAACAACAAACCACAACTTTCTTTTGGACTGAGAAATATTTTCATTGAGGATATATTAACATCTTTGTTATATATTAAAATGTTTAGTAAAATCACATATAGTAACAGTTTTTTTTTAAATCATCCATTAATTAAATAGAGCTTTCCTGTCTTCATTAATTCATTTGTCCAGGGGTTACCATTACTACTAGAATGTTGTGTTATTGTTCTGTGCTATTGAGTTGCTTACGACTCACAGTGACCCTGTGTACAATAGCCCTATACCCTGCTCTATCCTATGCCTATCTTATCGTCTCTAACACGCCTACCCTCATTACCGCAGCCACTAAGTCAATCCATCTCATCAAGGGTCTTCCTCTCTTGTGCTGTCCCTCCACCCTCCCAAGCATGATGTCCCTCTCCAAGGACTGGTCCCTCCTTACAACATGTCCAAAGTACGTCAGATGAAGTTTCAGAATCCTTGCCTCTAAGGAGCAGCCTGGTTTCACTCTCTAGGAAAAACCTGTTTGTTTTCCTGGCAGTCCATGGTAAGACACAATTTATTATACTTAAAGTTAAGCACTAATTTGATGCCCATTTCTTATTCTTATATATTTAAGTATAAGAAATCTTATTCATATAAATAAGAGGAATAAGTAGGCATGGAAGAAAAGATGAATATGTCACTCAATTCTAGGAACTCCTTTAGAGACATATGCCAAAAATTATCAAAACATTTTCATAATTCACTGACATAATTAAAGTCTTCTTTCAACAGTGTTGAAAATATGCAAGATATTATATAATCATTTCAGTCATTTGCCTTCTCAATATGTGCACAAATATGTTCTACTTTCCTTTGATTAGTATATTCTGTTATTGTTTGGTGCCATGGAGTACAACTCATAACTACCCTATGAACAAAAGATCTGAATCCTGTTCTATCCTGGCTGCCATTATCCTCACACTTCCTGATACAGACAGCCCATTATAGGCAGCATGCCAATTCACCTGGTTGAAGATCTTCCTCTCCTTCTCTGACCCTCCATCCTTGCCAGCATCATGTCCTTCTCTAAGGAATCCTGCCTCCTAGCAACATGACCAAAGTATGTGAGGCAAAGCATCATCATTCTTGCCTCCAAAGAGCACTCCTGCTACACTGTCTCCAAGACATATCCATTTGTTCTCCTGGCTGTCCATGGGATGTTTGATGCTCTCCTCCAACACCACAGCTCAAAGGTGTCAATTTTTCTTCTGTGATGTATAGCAGGTGAGTGAGAAGATCATCACCTGAATCAGGCAGACCTTAGTCTTCAAACTGAATTCACTGCTCTTCAGCATTTTGGAAAGATCCCTGACAGCAGACTTGCCCAGTGTAATATGTCTCCGAATTTTGCGACTGCTGGTACCAAGGGTGTTGATTTTTGATCCAAGCAAGATGAAATCTTTGACAGTTTCAATCATTTCTCAATTTATCATAGTGTATCCTGTGACAACGTGAAATGTGGAAATAAGCCCTTTATTTTTAATATATTTATTTAAAGTTTTGGGTTTTTTTTTTAACAAATGTCCTTCTATAGTAAAGAAATGGGTGATTGAGAATGGAGAAAAAGAGAAGACATTTAACAAAGGGAATACGTGAAAGATGGAAAAAAAATTGAAACTGTCAAAAATTTCATCTTATTTGAATCCAGAATCCACACCTTTGGTTATCAGCAGTCAGGAAATCAGATGTATTGCATTAGGCAAGTCTGCTGTTAGGGACTTCTCCAAAGTGCTGATGCGCAATGATGTCACTTTCAAGACTAAGGTGCACCTGCTTCAAACCATGGTCTTCTCAATCACTTATTATTCAGATGGATAGAGCCAGACAATGAATAAAGATGACAGAGGAATTGATGCCTTTGATTTGTAGTGTTGGAGAACAGTATTGAATATCTGCCAGAATACTGGACTGACTAAAGAACAAATAGTCTTAGAAAAAGTATAGCCAGAGTACTCCTTGGAGGCAAGAAGGGTAAAGCTTCATCTCACATACTTTGGGCCAGCTGTTAGGAGAAGCTATTCTTTGGAGAGTGACATCATGCTTGGAAAGGGCAGAGAAAGAAAGGAAAGACCCTAAAGGAGATAGAATGACACAATGACTACAGTAATGAGCTCAAGAGTGTCAGAGATGATAAGGGTGGCACAGGATGGGACAGGGTTCAGGTCTCTTGTTTATAAGGTCACTAGAGTAGTACTTGACTCAATGGCACCTAATAACAAAAACACCACCCCATTTGTAAAATGATTCCTTTAAAACTTTCCTTGGACTCTTAGGAGGGGAGCCACATGGGGTAAAGCTGCAGAGGGCACTCCATTTATAGTCTAGAGAATGATGAAAAAGGAAGTATGGACAACTGGCTCAGAAATCTCAGAAAAGATACCAAAGATAAGCCAGAGCTAGCTCTGGCTACCATAATGTGCGGAGATGAATCTCAACACTCTCCTCTCCTTAAAATGAAATAATACACAATGTCACATGCCTATGAACAGATGACTGTATAGGCAAAACATGATTTGACACATTCATACAGTGGAATTTTATTGGAGGTATATAAGGAGAAATGATGTTTCTGGTATATGGTATAACACAGATAAGCCCTGAGACTATTATGCTGAGTGAAAGTTGGACACCCAGTGACAAATATTACTTGATCCTACTGATGTAAACTATCTAGAATAGACAAATGCATAGAGGCAGAAGTTTATTAATGGCTGGTGGAAGGGAAGTAGTAATTTGTTGTTTATTGAGTACTGACTTTAGTCTATGGTGATGAAAACCTTTTAGAGATAGATAATGATAATAATTGGATAAAGTAAAGAATGTTACTGAATTGTACTGTTGTTGTTGTTGTTGCTGTTGACTGCCATCGAGTTGAGCACAACTTATAGCAACTCTATGAACAAAAGACCTAATGCCTTTCCATAACTCTTGTCATTTCTCCAAGTTCATAGAGTTTCCGGAGGGATGTGGTTTAGGAAGTAGATGCCACTCCTTTACAACTTATTTTATAACTGGGAGTTCCACCAAACACTGTTCACACTGGGAAGCCATTCTGGTATTTGATAACCCAATGGTATTGGGAATAGTTAAAAATGACTTTTTGTTTTGTTTTGTTTACAGGCATCTTAAGTAAAATAAAATTAATTAAATTTAAAAAAATACTTTCCTTGGAAGGATGACACAACTTAAAAACTGTAATCATTGTCACTAAATTATAGATGGAGAAATTACTGCTGTATGTCCTGTGGTGTATATATTCTCAACAACAACAAAATCAACTTTGCTTGCTTGTTTTCTTTCTGGAAAATGTAGATCTCTCCAATAATCTCTTCTAAGAATAAACTTGTGGTTAACAGTCTCCTTTCTCCTCTGTCAGTTTACATTCTAAGAGATAGGGGCCACTGGCACTCTCTAAGTTTGGGGAGGCCCTTTCTTACCTCACTAGAAGAGCTGTTAGTCTGTGTGCTACTGTCTTGAGCTCCCTGGTGAGCGCCAGCCAGTTGACTCTTCCAGTCTCGCAGCTGGCGAGAGAGAACTTCCAAAATGATAAGCGAACTCAACAGGTTCTCTTCCAGGTCATGTCGAGACAAAGCAGTCAGGTCTGGAGGATGTCTGCAGGAGGAAGAGAGGAATATGCGGACAATAAGGAAAGGGAAGAGATGAGAGTGAGGGATTTAGAGTTACAGCGCTCAGGTTGCACAAGGATAGGGACACTCACCCCCGCATGAGGTGCTCTGTTTCAGAAGGAGCTTTGTCCTTATTGCCCTCATCTGTCTGTGTTGTGTTTGTACTCTTTTCCTGTACTGCTGGGGGAGTAAACCAAGTCCCCACTGAGCAAGTAGTGAAAGGAGAAGCGCTAATCACAGTATCTTGAAGCACAGAAGGGAGGGATAAGCTCTGACAGAGATTTTCCAGCATGACTGAGGTATTTACACCTTTTCCCAGCCAATTCAGTGGAGACATCCAGGGCCCAGTGTCAGAGACAAGAATCCTACCAGCATCTTCTACTGCTGTATCTGGAACCTCCTCAGATTTTATTTCTACTGGATTTTGTGTCAGGCATGTGGACAGAATATCTTCCATAGCTGAGACAAGTGCTTTATCTTCCAATTCCACTTGTTCTGAGAGAGCTGAAAAGCCCATTTCTCTCTCCTCTATTGCTATGTGCTCTCCAATTTCTTCCCCTGGGTCCACATGATTACTAGGGAAGTCTGTTTCCAAAGAAGTTGAAAGGGAAAGTTGGAGCATTAAATCTGGCAAAACAGGACTTTCAGGTACAGGTTCAGTCCTACTGTCTCTCAAATTTTCCTGGGAGCCGTGTATTTGTTGCTCAGAACAGGGATTTGGTAAAAATTCCAAAAGACAGCATGGAGGATCCTCAGACAAAGTAGCAACAACTTTAGAAAAGCTATCTTCTGGACAGAGTGCCGCCCCTCCTCTCATCTGATCTTCTGATCTCAAAGGCTCATCTAGAGAGAAGCTGTTTGTCGCTGCAATGACATCTAAAGGAGTCCCAAGTGTAATGACTTGCTGCTGACTCACCGGAGAGGAGGTTAGGACCATAGTTTTAACTAGACAGTTATCCCCTGGGAATACTGCTTCCTCCGATGTTCTAGGAGCAGAGTTGGGTTTAGGAACCTGATGTGGGAGATCCTTATCTGATTCATGCTGACCAGCTTCCAGCCACTTTGAGGGAGAGATGAATTGCTCTGAAGGGGAATCTGTCCTCTTCGTACTGACAAAATTCAGTGAAGATGAGCTGCTGTTTTTCTGCAAAGGAAACAGAACTAGTCAATCAAGGCAGTAAACTCAAATTCCCAACATACAATTATGGATGCAGAGCACTGCATCAAAAACTCAAAAGGAAAGAGCTCATATTAGTTCTGATTAGGTAAGAATTTAACTAATCCTTGCTATTTATTACAGAAACCAAATTAAGTGCCATCGAGTCGTAGGTGACTCATAGCGACCCTATGAACTAAAGTCCTGGACACCTGTGTGACTTCTGTCCTTTCTCCAGGTTCATAGGGTTTCCAGAAGCAAGTAATTAGGAAGTGGTGCCACTCCTGCTTCCAAGCTTGTTTGAATCAGGGAGCTCTACCAAACACTGTCCTCCACGGGTGACCTTTCTTGCATTTGACTCATCAGTGTCACAGTGTTCGGGTTCACAGCAACCACGAGTTACCTCTGTACAGCAAGTGGACATACCAGGGTTACACGACCTAGAATGTTTCACCAGAAACAATTAAAGGCAGGCCTGAGGGCCATGGAATCGAGTCACCCACCTTTGGCTTGGGAACATGACTGACTTTCTGTCCGCTAGGCCAACTGCGTGCGCGCTCTCTCTCTCTCTCTCTCCACACCCCCGCCCCCCGCTGTTGTGTTGTTGTTTTTGTTGTTGTTGTTGTTAAGTGCCATCGAGTCATAGGCGATTCATAGTGACCTTATGAACGAAAGTCTGAACACCTGTATGACTTTCGTCCCTTCTCCAGGTTTATAGGGACAGAAACCCAATAGAAGTAGAAAAAAACCTTAAGGACAATTTTGGGTCCTTTGAAGGGCCCTCAGCGTCAATAAAAATGAGCAAATCTGTTCCCATCATCAGGAGATAGTAGCTTAAATGTGTTCCAGTCCTTCTCCATTCCTACTAACAATTTCAAGAATAGGGAGGCGAGAGCTATAGGATGTGAGGGAAGACTCAAGTTCTGTCAGAAGTTAGAGCTGGTACAAGATTTCTCTCTATGGAACAGACAAGAATCTGGGGACCAGAGTCAGAAAGCTCTTTAGTAATGACTGGACAGGGTGGATGGCACTTGGCCCACAAAAAACCATGAAACTCAGGGATAAAGAATAACATCACCTATGTCGATGGCCTCCTCTGCCTGGTCCCAAAAGCTGAGAACATCCCAAATATGTGCATTAAATCCATTCACTCTCTGGAACTTGAAGAACTCTATTACTTATAGCAGAGGAGACTGAAAAGTAGAAACTCCACCCAATTGTTTGGACAAAGGACTGAAAAGCTATGTCCTATTGGTTCACAGGGACAGAGACCCAGAACCTTCTACCACTTGCAGGAATGCTGCAACTTAAGGTCTTCCATTAGCTGGACCTGAAACCTGACAAGCAAGAAAAGAAAAACAGTCACGTATTTAAGTGCATAAAGCAGTCAGAGAAAGGATAAATCCTAAAAGAGTTAAAAACATAGCCTTAACAAAACAGAGCTGCTATAAGAGATATATGACTATCTGAACCAAAAAGAAGGGAAAAACATGAATATTCAAAAGATTAAAATATACATGTACCCCAAAAGGCTTTCTGAAAATAATAAACATTACTATTAAACTGAATATTTCAGTAAATTGAAATAGTACGGTCAGAATTGAGACTGGAACTATAGGCCTGGAAGATCAGGTGAAAGAAATATTTAAAGCAAAGATAAAAATACAAAGAAATATACATCTGAGGAGAAAGCAAAGAGAATTGGATGGTAAATCTAGGAAATCTATCATGAATACAAAAGGTTCAGGAATGCATACAGTAATTATTGAGCCAACAAATGATTTGCTGTGTATATTTCATACCATAATTTTAAAAAAAAAATAAGTTATTTCAGTCCTCTCCTCCATATTTCCTTTCAAGGAGGGAGGTCTATCCTTTTGGGGATGTAACTTTCTAATAAATCTATCTTTTTAAAAAAAGAAAGTTGTTTTAGGAGAAAAGAGAATATATACAGATGAGGTACTGCTTAAACAAATATTATAAGAAAATTTTCCTAGGGTAAAAAAAGATGTGAGTCCGCATATTAAAATGGTTCACCAAGTTCTAAGCAGGAATGTCAAGATGCACATCTAGACAAATAATGATAAAAAAATATATATCTTCAACTAAATAAAATAAAACTATTTTAGAAGCTTTAAGGGAGCTCTAGTGGCCCAGTGGCAAGAAGCTGCACTGCAGTCCCAAGGTACACAGTTCGAATCCACCAGATGCTCTGCTGGACAAGGAGAATCAATCTCCTCCTTTACTAGTCAGATCAGATTTGACAGTACACGCACAAAAAATAATAAAACTATTTTAGAAGCTTTAGACACACACTCTCTCCTACATACACATACAAAAACACAACACATACAACTTACACGAAAAACTCAGTGGAGGATCACCATGAGTCAGAATGGACTTAATTGACAGGGGAGGGACCAGTCCTTAGAGAGGGACATCATGCTTGGGGGGATGGAGAAAAAGTGCAGGAGGGGAAGACCCTGTATGAGGTGGACTGATTCAGCCACTGGGGTAATCAGGATGGGTGTGTCGGAGACAGTGAGACTGGCACAAGACAGAGCAGGGTTTAGGGTGTTGTAAATAGGGTCACTGAGAATCGTAAGCGACACAACAGCACATAACAACAGCAACATAGACAGTTACAAATTACCATAAGAATGCAGAGGAAAATATGGAAGGATAAACAGCAGCTTGTTAAAATGGTTACCTGGCAAGAACAGGGCATGTGTAAGAACCTGATTCCAGAGGTCTGAAAGGGCAAGGAAAGGTGGAGCTAAGCTCTGTGTGGGGTGGAGGAGGAAAAATAGGATTGCATTTAGGGGGTAAAGTATGATAATATGGACGCATATGGATATGAACGTGTGTGTGTGTGTGTGTGTGTGTGTATACATACACACACACATACTACTGTTAGGTGCCATTGAGTGGGGTATATTTCATAGTGACCCTATAAACTATAGATTGAAACCTTGCCCTGTCCTGTGCCATTTTATAGCAGTACTATATTTCTAATATAGAAGCATTAAGGAACTAAGATTAGGGCACCGCTATAATGTATCAGAAGGAATTGGCTGACACGGAAGAATTTCATGAAATGACATATGAGCAAGAGCCAATGGTGATGAAGGAGGAAGTTCAAATTTCTCTGAAGGAATTGGCAAAAAATAAGGCTCCAGGAGTTGATGGCATACCAATTGACATATTTCAACAGACACTGGCCTGGATATGCTCACTAAGTTGTGCCAAGAAATCTGGAGAACAGCCAGCTGGCCAACTGACTGGAAAAGATCGATATTTGTTCCCATTCCAAAGAAAGGTGACCCAACAGAGTGCGGAAATTACCGAACAATAACATTAATATCACATGCAAGCAAGATTCTGCTGAAAATTATCCAAAAATGTTTGGAACAATATTTCAACAGAGAACTGCCAGATGTGCAGGCTGGATTTAGAAGAGGTCATGGTACTAGGGATATTATAGCTAATGTTAGATGGATCTTAGCAGAAAGCAAAGAATACCAGAAGAATGTCTGTCTGTGCTTCATTGACTATGCAAAGGCTTTTGACTGTATGGATCACAATAAGCTGTGGCTGACTCTGAGAAGAATGGGAATCCCAGAACATTTGATTGTGCTAATGCAAAACTTATACTTGGACCAAGAGGCAGTTGTCAGAACAAAACAAGGAGATACTGCATGGTTCAAAATCAAGAAGGGGGTTCGTCAGGGATGTATTCTGTCTCCATACCTTTCCAATCTGTATGCAGAACGGATCATCCGAGACACTGGGCTATGCAAAGAGGAATGTGGCATCAGAATTGGAAGAATCATCAACAACCTGCATTATGCAGATGACACAACCCTGCTTGCTGAAACTGAGTTGGACCTGAAGCGCTTACTGCAGAAGGTCAAGGACTACAGCCTCCTATATGGACTCAACATCAAGAAAACAAAGATTCTAACCACTGGGCCAATTGTCAACATCAGTATGGATGGTGAAGAGATTGAGATAGTTAACAGTTTTAATTTACTTGGCTCCACAGTCAACACTCTTGGTAACAGTAGCCAGGAAATCAAGAGACGGATTGCATTGTGAAAGTCGGCTGTGAGGGACCTCTCAAGAGTACTGAAGAGCAATGATGTCAGGCTGGAGACTAAGGTGTGCCTGATCCAGGTGATAGTCTTCGCAATTACATGCTATGTATCAGAGAGTTGGACAGTGAATAGGGTTGATAGAAAGAGAATTGATAAAAAAAATAATAAAAAAAAAGAGAATTGATGCCTTTGAGCTGTGGTGCTGGAGAAGAGTACTGCTAGGAGAACAAACAGGTTTGTCCTGGAGAGGATGAAGCCAGAATGTTCCCTGGAGTCAAGAATTTTAAAGCTTCATCTGACATACTTTGGGCATGTTGCAAGGCAGGACTGGTCCTTGGAGACGGACATCATGTTTGGCAGAGTGGAGGGGCAGCGAAGGAGAGGAAGACCTTTGATGAGATGGATCAATTCTGTGACTGGAGAGGTGGGAAAAAGTGTGTTTGAGATGGCTAGGTTGCCACAGGATAGAAGAGCGTATAGAGCTCTTGTATATAGGGTCACTATGAGTCGCAAGTGACTCGATGGCATATAACAACAACAACATAATCAGAATGGATGGTGATGAGATTGAGATTGTTCACAGCTTTAGTTTGCTTGGCTCCACAGTCAACAATCTTGGCACCAGTAGCCAGGAAATTAAAAGGCGCATTGCCATGGGAAAGTCTGCTGTTAGGGATCTCTCCAAAGTACTGAAGAGCAATGGAGTATCTCTGGAGACTAAGGTGCATCTGATAGAGGCCATGGTCTTTGCAATCACTTGTTATGCATCATAGAGTTGGACAACGACCAAGGAGGATAGAAGAAGAATTGATGCCTTTGAGCTGTGGTGCTGGAGAAGAGTATTGAGAGTACCATGCACTGCTAGGAAAACAAACAGATTCATCCTAAAAAGGGTTAAACTGGGTGGCTCCTTGGAGGCAAGGATTCTGAGGCTCCATCTAACATACTTTGGACATGTTGTGAGGAGAGACCGGTCCTTAGAGAGAGACATCATGCTTGGGAGGGTGGAGGGACAGCGCAGGAGAGGAAGGCCCTCTATGAGGTGGATTGATTCAGTGACTGGGTTAATCGGGATGGGAATATCAGAGACAGTGAGATTGGCACAGGACAGAGCAAAATTTAGGGCTATTGTACATAGGGTCGCAATGAGTCGCAAGCAACTCGACGGCACATAACACCACCACCAACAACAACATGATCAATACTTAAAAATATGAAGTAGCTTTGAAATTGAGTAATGGAGGACTATTAAGATGACTACTACTAATAAAAGTCTAAATCACCTTAAAGATTTCCCAATGCAACACATATTTCGATTTCTTGGGAAAAGTTTTCAATTAGCAATAATCGCTGCACAAAGCTATATTTCGATTTCTTGACTGCTCTTACCATGGGTGTTAACTGTGGATCCAAGTAAAATGATATCATTGACAACTTCAATCTATCATGATGTTGTCTATTGGTACAGTGGTGAGGAAAAAAAATATGGATACTATAATACTTAAAAAAGGAAACATATGCATCAGGGTTCCATCCTTTCTCTGCATCTATTCAACCTGCATGCTGAGCAAATCATTAGAGAAGCTGAACTATAAGAAGAACATGGCATCAAAACTGGAGGATGACTCATCAACATTCTATGTTATGGAAATGACTCAACCTTGCTTGCAGAAAGTGAAAAAACTTGAAAAGAATTTACCGAAGATCAAAGCTTTTAGCTTTCAATAAAAATTACACTTCAACAAGAAAACGAAAATCCTCACCACAGCACCATTAGGCAACATCATAATAAACGGAGAAGACTGAAGTTGTCAGTTTTTCATTTTACTTGGATCCACAATCAATACCCATGGTAAGAGCAGTGAAGAAATTAAAACACATGTTGCACTGAACAAATTTGCTGCTGTCAAGGAACTCTCCAAAGTGCTTTTAAAAAGTAAGGATTCAGTCTAAAGTTTGCCTGTCACAAGCCAGAGTATTCCTTCATATGCATGTGAAAGCTGGACAATGACTAAGGAATACCAACGAAAAATCAATGTTTTTGAATTGTGGCACTGGTGCAGGTAATGAATGTCCCATGGACTGCCAGACCAAGTAAAGCTTTGAGAAAGTGTAACCACAGAGCTTCTTAGAGGCAAAGATACTGAACATTCATCTCACACAGTTTTGTCAAGAGGAGCTGTTTTGTACCATTGAGTTGGAACTGACCCATTGCTGACCCTTCAATGGGTTTTCAGAGGCAGTTAATAGCATGGAAGGAGACTGCCCATCCTTCTCTCATGGAGCAGTTGGTAGATTCGAACTGTGCCTTCAGGATTGCAGCACAGATTCTTATCACGAGGCCATCAGAGAGAGGCTAGGCCTTGGAAAAAGATATCATGCTGGGAAAGGCAGAAGGTCTGAGAATGAAAGTAAGACCCTCAATGAGATAGAGTAATACAGTGACTGCAACAATGGGCATGAGCATGGTGACAATTGCAAGGATGGTATAGAACAGAGCAAAGTTTCAACCCACTGTTCAGAGGGTTGCTGAGTTGGAGTTGACTTGATGGCACCAAGTCACAATAAAGAAGACCAAATAAATGTTATGACCTTGAATTACAGTGGACCGCCAGAAGAACCAACAAATTTGTCTTGGAAGAACAACAACCAGAACCTTGGAAGCACAAGCACAACCTTGGAAGCAAAGATGATAAGTGTTGAAGTTATCAGAAAGGTCAAGTTCTGGCACAAGGACATCAAGCATGGTAAAAGTGATGGTAAAAAGGAGGAAGTCCCTCCACAAGATGGATTGAGATAGTGGCTGCAACACTGGCTCCAACACAGCAGTGGTTGTGAGGATGGTGTAGGACTGGCCAGCACTTTCTTCCATTGTACATAGGGCTGCTATGAATCGTAACTGATCTGAGAGTACCTAATAATTTTTAAGAAAGACGACTGCCACGCATTTTTTTGCTCAGTGCAGCTGCTGGGTTTAAACTGCCAACCTTTCAGTTAGCAGTAGCGCTCTTAAGCAGTATGGCACCAAGTCTCTGTTGTTGTTAGGTGCCACTGAGTCGAGTACAACTCATAGCAACCCTATGAACAAAACATCTGACCTCTGTTCTATCCTGTGCCATCCTCACACATCCTGACACGCAAGAGCCTACTGCGGCAATCGCTGTGTCAATCCACCTGTTTGAGGGTCTTCCTCTTCTTTGATGACCCTTGACCCTTCCCAGCATCATGTCCTTCTCCAAGAATAATCTCTTCTAGCAGCATACCTAAAGTATATGAGGTAAAACTTCATCATTCTTGTCTCCAGTGAGCTCTCCAACTACACCCTCTCCAAGACATAGCTGTTTATTCTCTTAGCCATCAATAGGATGCTCAGTGCTCTTCTCCAACGCCACAGCTCATAGGTGTCAATTCTTGTCATCCTTATTCATTGCCCAGCTCTCAGATGCATAGCCAGTAATCGGAAAGAGTATGTCCTGAATCAGACGCATCTTAGTCCTCAAATTGACATCATTACTCCTCAATAATTTGGAGAGGTCCCTAACTGCTGACTTTCCTGGTGCAGTGTGTCTCCTTATTTCCTCACTGCTAGTATCAAAGGTGTTAATTGTGGATTCAAGCAAGATGAATCTGTTGACAGTTTCAATTTCCTCTCCATCCACCACAATGCTACCTATCAGTCCAGTGGTAAGAATCTTTGTTTTTTTTGACACTGAGCTACAATCCATACAGAAGGCTGCATTCCTTGATCTGCAACAAGTGTTTCAAACTCTCTTCACTTTCAGCAAGCAAGGCTGTGTCATCTGCATAATGCAGGTTATTAATAAGTCTCCCTCCAATTCTGATGCCACACTCCTCTTCAGAGTCCACCTTCTCAGGTCTCTTTAGGATTCTTATAAAGGGGTCAGTTTCAATCTATAACAAGTTTTAAACATGTAAAAAAAGTAGTTTCTACATGGCTATTTTCTCTTAGGGCCCTTGGCAAACAACTCAGTAAAAGCAATTCTACAAGAGGCTCAAATTGAGTCCAAGTATCTTAGCTTCCAGCCATGTATAACTGGGTCATGCAGTTTTGACCACCTCTTGGAATGGATGGCTATTGTCTCACAGGTGTAGCAGAAAAATCGTTCAAGAATGAACTACATTAAGAGGAAAACTACCAATCATGGTGACATTACTTCACACTATTTGGAAAAGATTAGAAGGAAGAAGAGGTGATAAAAACTACCTGCTAAATAGATGTTCAGATTCTCTGTGGATTTCCTTTAACTGTCCTAGGGCACCTCTCTGTTGGCCTGAATAGCTGTAAATAGAAGTCACTGAGGTAGAAGAGTTCATTATCGTTATTAATTATGTTCCAGCCTGAGACCTCTGTTCCTTTGAGCTCTCAGCCTGGGCAAAGAGCCCAGTCCTGGAAATGGCCTGACGACTAAAAAAAGAAAGGTTTAGAGTTATAAACGAAAGAGCTTAGTTAATAACTATGAATTGATGTTGGTTCAATCATAACAAACGTGCCACAAGAACACAAGATGAGAACAAAAACTGTATGCTGAAGAGGGAGACTATATGAGCACCCTATATTTTTTCTTTTTCTGTAAACCTAAAACGTCTCTAAAAAGAAATAAAATCTGTTCATGAGAGAGGGGGAGAGAGAAAGAGAGAAGGAGAGAAGGAGAGAGAGAGAGAGAGAGAGA